CTGACTACGCGAAGGATTGGAAGGCCGCTTGGGAGGCCGCCGCCGCCTGGCGGCAGAGAGGTCGCGGGGCGCAGGGTGCAGCAGAAGGCGCGCCAGCGGAGGCGCCTCCCGCAGCAGCGCCGGACGCCGCTCTGGCGCACGGGCCGCTGGGCGGCCACGCTGCGGCGGCGGCGCCGCCGCCGCCCCCCGCGGGCGCGCCGAGGCGCCCGCGCGTCGCCCGATACCCGCAGCTCCCACATCCCGCTGGGGCTGGCCGTCCTCACTACATTCGCCTTGTCGAGAACGAGGCCCTCGCCGTCTACGACATGCGCGCCGTCTGTGGCCTCCATCCAGGCTGTTCATGGAACCAGCAATCGAGGGTCAGACCATTGGCCGCTTTGTGGTGGTGGTTGGGGGAGGCCCCTGGATGCGGGAGCAAGGCAGACCATAAACAAAAGGTGCCCACGCCAGCGCAGATCGCCGCTGCTCGCGCGGTCCTCGAGGGCATGCCCGAGAGCCAGCCTTGGAGGGGCTCGGAGGAGAGGCGGGCCAGTGGCGGGTGATCTTCCCGCCAGGACAGATACGAAGCGTAGGCGTGTAAAAGTGCATTTCTCAGAGCCGTTGTCGCCGCCGCGGCCGCCCGCTGCAATCGCGCAGCTGTCGCCTGATCGTTGCTCCAATCGCTGTTTCGCCGCGTCTCTCGGCGCAGCATTGTTCCCGAGCTGCGGCTAAGCTGCCGTCCGCGCCAGCGCCTCGCTGCCCGCCGCCGCGCCCGCCCCCTCGCCCCCCGCGATGTCCCGCGCGGAGACGGCGAAGGCATCGCCTTCCGACACCGACGGGGAGACGGAGAAAGCGCCGTCCCTGGCCTCGGGGTTGCGGCGGGGCCGCATGCTGCACGGCCTCGAGGTCGAGGGGCCCCCGTCATTGTGCACTTCCTTATGTCCTTCCTTTCTTTCGCCTCGCCTCCTTTCCTCCCTCTTGGCTCCCGTTTCCTCTCAGGTCGCCCTCGTGGTGGTTGGCCAGTGGGCTGGCTATCTGGTGAAACCTTTCAACAAGAAGGATGGTTCCAGCTTCACGTGCGGTCTCTGCGCCCGCGAGAGCACGGACCCGAGCCCGTATCCCCAGGCGAGTAACGAGGACGAGTTCGGCGGATACTGGCCGTGGAAGTACCGCGCCGACCATGGCAGCATGATCCGCCAGGCCACGGGCTATTTGTGCCTGGTTTGCAAGGCCCTGTTGCGCAAGAAGGCGGGCGGGCAAGGGACATTTCGCTGAAATCGAGCCCGCCGCTTTCAATTTTTCTCTGCCCGCGCGGGCTGCAAATTTCTATTTCTGATTTTTTTTTCTATTTCATATTTTTTTTTTTTTTTTTTTTTGAATTTCCGGCCGGTGAACATAAAACCGCCCTGGTGAACATAAAATCGCCCTGGTGAGCATAAAAGTGGTTTTGGTGAACATAATTGTTTTTTGAATTTCCGGCCGGTGAACATAAAACCGCCCTGGTGAACATAAAGTCGCCCTGGTGAACATAAAAGTGGTTTTGGTGAACATAACTTTTTTTGGGGGGGGAAAATGATTTTTTCAATAAATTCACAAAAAGATGCAATTTTAAATTCAGCGCATTGCAATTCCGCGCAAGAGAAAAAGGGCAACCGGCAGAGGAATGCATTTTTTCTGGTCGCGGCGAGGCGACTTCGAGCATTGCCGTTGGACATTCCACCTCCGCTCGATCCGCAGGGGTGCCCCGCCCGGCCTATCCTGCACGGGGCCCGGCGCGACTCGAGTCCCACGCGGCCCCGACCCATGTCCGACGCGATTCCGACTTGGTCCAGCCCCTCTCTCTCTCTCTCTCTCTCTCTCTCTCTCTCTCTCTCTCTCTCTCTCTCTCTCTCTCTCTCTCTTTCTCTCTCTCGCAGGCGGTGCTCTTGGACCCCCACTTGCCTGGCGGCGAGAAGAAGCCGCTGAAGGAGTACATCAAGTGGGTGCGCCAGGATGCGGGCCGGGCGCAGACCGCGCGGCTCAAGGTGGATGCGTACGTCCAGAGCCAGGCGGGGAAGGACCCAGAGAAGCGCCGCCGCATGTCCAGGCAGGCCGCGGGAGACATCCAGCAGGCTCGCCAGGTATCTTCCGTCAAGGTCTCCGGGCGTCGCCTGTCTGCGAACTGGCATCAAGCCTGCCCCGTGAGCAAGTGGCACGAGGCTTTCCCTGAGACGCCGCTGCCCACGGACCCGAATTGTCGCGGCGAGGAGCTCGTCGACGGCGCCTGGCAGGAGGCGCGCTGCCAAGTCGTCTTCCCACTCGCTTCCTTCATCGTTGAAATGCCCTCCCTTTCTGCTCTCCTACTGGCAGGTTGTATATGTCATGAAGGACGGCGCGAAGAAGTTCTTGTACGACATCGCGGACTACGACGATCGCAAGGTGGAGGACAGGACGGTGCTGGCGACTGTGGCCGAGTCAGACGACGACGCGGACGCGGCTGAGGTTGCGGCTGCTGCCGAGGCCGCCGCGGCCCCAATTGCAGCCCTGCGGCGCGCCACGCAGTGCGCGGAGATCGGTGCAGCAGAGAGCGCGCCGTCGGAGGGGCACCAGTCCGACTCTCCCGCGAGCGACGAGGACGCCGAAGAGACGGATCTCGTGGCCGCGGCGCTGTCGGGCCTGCGGGGCACGGCCCGCGCCGCCAAGCCCGCGCCCAAGGCTGCGACCAAGCCGCAGGCCAGACCACCAGCCCAGACGACCGGGAGGGCTACGTCCGGGCGCCCCGCCCAGACAGCCGAGAGGCCTGCCGCCAAAGGGGCTGCCACGCCCGCAGCCGCTGCCCCTTCGAAGTGCGCCGCGCCCTCGGCGCAGGCGCCGCCGCAGAGGTCAGCCGCCCGCGCCCCTGCTCAGACGGCCGCGCCCTCGGCGCAGCCAGCCGACGGCAGCGGCGCCAGTCCGCCCTTGGCGACCCCGCAGCGCTCGGGCCGGAGCCAGCCAGGGAAGAAGCGTGGCAGCGGCGGTTCGTGGGCCGCGCCCCTGCTCGCCCAGCCGCCCGACGACTCCGACGAGGGCGGCGGGCAGCCGGACGAGCCAGCACCTCTCGAGGACGGCTCCGCGTCGAAGAAGAGGGGGCGGAAGGCCCTCGAATTCAGCCTCGCAGCGGCCGGCAGGAAACTCAAGGGCGAGGCCGACACGCACTTCAACGCGTTCCGGGAGTGTTACAAATTGCTCGACTTCAGCGGAGATGTGGACCTGTCCACGAAGGAGGGGAGAGCCCACTTCAAGGCCACGGCTTTTGAGCAGGCGGCAGCCGCAGAGAGCGCCATCCACACGGCCAAGAAGGCAGCGGCCTAGATGGGGAAGATCCCGGATGACGGCGCGCAGGCGCTGCAGATCAACAAGGCGTGGCTGGCGCGCTCAGAGGAGGCGCTGGCCGCGGCAGTGCGGGTCGTCAAGGCGGAGTGGTCGCGGTCGTGGTCGCGTTCGTGGTCGTCGTCGTCGTCGTCGATGGAGGAAGGGAGGAGGAAAGGAGAAGGACGATAGGGGGAGAGGGAGGAAGGGAGGGGGAAGGCAGGAGGGGGGGTAGGAGGAAGGAAGGCGGAAGGCAGGAGAAAGGGAGGAGGAAGGGACGCGGAAGGGAGGGGGAAGGGGGGAGGAATGGGGGAGGAAGGGAGGAGGGGGCTACAGTACGCATTCAGTTGTTCATTCCTCTTTGTGAACGGGGGCTTGGAGGCCCCCGGCCCAGTTCAAAGGAGGCGGCGGAAGCGGAGGAGGAAGAAGATTGAGCGATGGGGGCCAGAGGAGGCGGAGGAGTCCGCAGGCTGCTGTGAGCGAGAAGCCAGGGAACACCGAGACTCTCCTGAAAGACACCGAGATCGCCGCGGCGGAGGACATCGCGTTCGGCGTGGCGTACCACATGCGGTTCAGGAGCTGGAAGGCAGACGAGGCCATCAAGCGCTGCGATTGGTTACAGCTGATGTCCCTGTTGGAAAGCGGTGCTGCAGATGGCGCGCCCTCGGCAGATCTCGCGACGACGACCCTCGAGCGAGTCGGCACGGGCCTGATTTCGGCCGTCGCGAAGTCGGACGCCAAGAAGGGAGGCGGATCGTTTGCTGCCGTGGTTGCCTTCGCTGGCGCCGCGCGGGATGCTCTCCAGCGGGCCTCCGCCGACCCTGCGCGGCCAGTGTGGGGGGAGGAGCTGAAGGGTCAAATCCAAGTTCTCTGGGCAGTGTCGCGCGCGAGCACTGCCCCGCTGACTGAGGTGGAGGAGGCGCTGGAGGCGCTCCCGCAGCTGGAGGGGGCCTTGGGCGTCGCTTTGAACACGAGCCCGGGCGGCAAAGTCCTCGTTGGTTGGGCGGAGTCGGCCATGAAGAAGCGGTCCCACGAGGAGGCTGCTCTCCAGTGCGCCCAGGCAGCCCGGGAGCTCTTCGCGCAGGTGACGGGCCATGCCGCCGGGGAGCAGTGGCAGAATTGGACCGAGGAGGTGTCGCGCTGCCTGCAAGAAGCAGAAGGAGGCCGCGTCCAAGGCGGGCGCGCTGCAGGAGGCCGACCGGCACCAACTCGCCAGGGAAGGCCGCGGGCGGGCCTCCGCAAGATCGCGAGTCCGTTCGATGAGGTTCGAGGGTTTCCGATCCGCCATTGGTTTTAGTTTGGCCGGTGCTGCTGCGGCGCGCCTTATTTTCTCCTACTTGAGCATGGGATGTTTGACCTCGCCGTTGCCTGTGTTTGCCTCCTGTCGAGGCACGGCGTTCGAGGACGTGGTCCTCGGGTTGCTCTTGCGCTCGCCCCGCGAGGAGGTGGGGCGAGCCGCAGCAGGCCTGAGGAAAGATTCCTTGTCCGATAGCGAGAAACAGGACACAGACAGATGAACCACCCCCGGACCCCGGACCGCCAGAACGATCAGGAGGAAGTGGAGGCGGAGGAGGGAGGAGGATGATGAGGAGAACACCTTGTGCCAGAGGTGCTGCAGCAGCGCGCCTTCTCAATGTAGTTTGGGCGCCGAAACGCGTTCTCCAGAGGAGCTCCTGACTGCCGCGTGCGTCGAGCGGCTGGAGTTGGAGCACGGCTGGTCGACCGTCGAGGAGTGGGCGCCTGATGGCATCAAGGGCCCCCACGAGACCGCCTTCGGGGCATTGAAGAAGATCGCCGACATCGCCGCGTACAGCCGTCTCGACGTACCTGGGATGAAGCAGCCAGTGAAGACAGCCAATCGGTTGTGCGACCTCTTGAAGGAGAGCCCCGAGGCGTTGTTGAAGGTCTCTGGCGTGACAGTGTCTGCGGAAGACAACGTAGAGGGGCTGCAGTCGCTGTTCTCCCTCGCGCTGGGCACGGCGGCGCGCGTGCGCAGGGCCTTGGGCCACAGCGTTCTGGCCAGAGCCAAGGGTGCAGCAGAACAGTCTCTGAAGCGCGTGGACTCGGCGGCGTGGCAACGGAAGGAATTGCAGGCCTTCTTGAATATCTCCAAGCTGCTGAGCGCGGAGCCGCCCGAGGACACCTGGAAGGAAGCGGACATGTGGCTGTGCAGCGTCGCGGCCGTCGCCGACGCCAAGGAGCTTGCCGAGCAGGCCGGGGGCGAGCTGAACCTGGAGCTGTGGGAGAACGCGAGCGACGCCGTGCGCCAGCTCGGGGACACGGTGCAGCCGGAGCGCGCCTTCCAGACGGTCATCGCGAAGACTTTCGACGCTTCTCTGGAAGATGTGGAGGCAGCAGTGGGGGCCAGCAAGGAGCTGCACGCGCAGGCCGTGCCATGGCTGGAGAAAGTCGCGCAGGAGCGGGCTGAACGCTCCGTCAAGCGGTTCGACGCCGAGCCAGCCGTGCGCGCCGCGAAGGAGCTTCTTGAGAGGAGCCCCATCCCCGAGACGCTGCAGGAAGCGGCCGAGTTCTTAAAGGTTGTCGGTGGCACCGTGGACATGCCGGAGACCTTCGGCGGCAAGGGTGGGAAGATGGTTGATGCTGTCAACAAGGTGCGCAGATCCTTGTTCGCCGTCTTCCCCAGCTCCTCGTGTTCCTTCACCAGTCCCCCGCTGTCTCATCCCACCGAGCTCCCCTCGTTCCCAGTACATTCCGCCGCGGCTCCTCCTCGCCACCCCGCGTTCGCTCCAGGTGATCGGCGGCTTCTCTCTCATAAAGGAGGTGTGCCGCGACCCCCATCTTGAGTCGCAGGTGGGCTCCATGACGTCACAGTTGCGACAGCGGCTCTTCCTGGTCGCCTGGTGCGCGAACGTGACGTCGTCGATTTGGGAGGCGAAAGGCCAGTCGAGGATTCTGACCCAGCAGAAGCAGAAGGTCCGCGATGCCATGAAGAACCTCATCAGCGTCGCAGAGGAGCCTGACAAGACGAAGGAGGAGTTTCCCGCGCTCGAGGGCCGCCTGATCCCCGAGATCCTTCTGAACGCGGGGAAGGCGATCCTCGCCGGCCGCGCAGTGAGCGGGGAGAGCGAGGCGGAGGGCGCCAGCGGTGCAGCAGACAGCGCGCCTGGGAGCGGGGCCGGCGGCACTGACCAGAAAGGGTGCGCCCGGGCTGCGCCCGGGGCCGCCAAGAGGGCCAGGGTGGGCGACGCGGCGTCGTTTCCAAAGGCGACGCCGCATTCCCCAGCGGTTCTGGCGGCGAAGAGAGCCAGCCAGCATTGGCGGCGCCCCTGTGCGCAAGTCCGCGCGCAAGGCCGCGTAGGTGCGCGCTGCAGGAGTCCGGGGGCACGGTGGTGTTTTTCTTTGCGGCGGGGGCGCCTGGCGCGCTCTCCAGTCGAGCGGCCGGCGCCCAGGGGCCGCCTCGCTGAGACGAGAGGGGCGCGGGAGGCAGGGGGGCGCAGGAGATAGAGCGAGGCGGCGGGGGGGGGTCCAGCGCGCGAGATATGCACTGCGAGTTGCGGGCTGACGCTCGGTTTAGAGTTCAGGGGAATGGCGCAGTGACAGCCCGTGGCGGTCTCTCACGGGGGTTGTCCACAGGCCTTGCTTTTCCAGCTTCGGAAGTTTGCTGCGGACAATGCGAGCGATGTGCTTAGTCGAGGGGAGTCTGACACACTCGCTCTGCAAAAAAATGAGGAAGGATGGGGGGGAAAGCAAGGCGGAGGAGGAGCAGGAGACGCAGGAGGGTTTTGCCGTACTCTGCTGGGCGCGTCCACGAGGACGCAACAGACTTGAAACTTGCACCGATGCCGCCCCAGGCAGGCGAATCGGGATCCGTGGATGAGGAGGAGGAAAAGAGGGGAGACGGGGAGGGGGAAGAGGAGGAGGAGGAGGAGGAGGGCCATCGCACACCTGCCAGGGGGTCGGCCGTAGGCAGATCAACTGCGGATGCTGCTCCTGCTGCTGCCAGTTGCCAGCATTTCAAGCCAGTCTTCGCGCGCCGAGGGCGCGCCCTGTTAGAGCAAGAGCGGTTCCTGTCCGCCGAAGGTTCTGGTTGTTGCTGCTGCTCTTGTTGCTGCTCCCCCTCCCCCCCCTCGCTCTGCAGGAGGAAGAGGATGGGTGGGTAGGAGGATGGGGGGAGGGAAGAGGAGGAGGAGGAGGAGGAGGAGGAGGAGGAGGAGGAGGACGACGACCATTTTACAGATGCCAGGGGTTCGGCCGTTGGCAGATCTACTGCTGATGCTGCTGCTGCTGCCACTTGCCTGCGTGGCGGGCCAGTTGCCGCCCCTTGACTCGGATTAGCTCGCTCGCCTGGCGCTCCTGGGCCCCTGGTGCGGCAGCAGAAACGGCAGCAGCAGCAGCAGCAAAGGCGCACGAGACCTAATGGAAGCAATAGGCGCGCTCCTGCAACAGGTAAACAGAGCCTACAAAGGTAGATCATGTTCCCATCCACGGAACAGAAAAGTCGAATCCCCGATCGGCCCGAAGCACGGGGTGGAAGGAAGGGGGGAAGGGAGGAGGAATAGAGGAGTAAGGGGGGAGGTACAGAGGAGTAAGGAAGGAGGAAGGGAGGAGGAATAAAGGAGAAAGGGGGGAGGGAGGGGGGAAGAGGGGAGGGGGGAGAGAGGAGGGCGGGAGGAGGAGAGGGGATACTGGGAGGAGGAAGGGAGAAGGAAGGGAGGGGGAAGAGAGGGGGGCGGGGGGAGGAAGGGGTGAGAAAGACCAGGGCCATAATATTCATTATCTGGTTCACTCCTTGCGGAGGGCGGGCAGTGAGACAACCAGGCAGGCTTTGTTTGGTCCGTGGACATGTGCCTTGGGAACCGCGGGGGGGCCTCGAGAGGGCCCCGATGGGGTCAGTAGGCTGCCCTCCAGAGTTTTCTGGCTCAAGGCGCGCGGCGCAGTGGGCCCGCGCGGCCAGGCCGCCTCGGCGCGCGGCCCGCTTCGGCGCGGCTGATGGCCCCGAAAAAACTGCCGAAGCTCCCGGATGGGAGCCGCTGGGGGCGCCTCGACCTCGACAACTTCGCGGCGCCTGCGGCGGCGCGGGCCAGCACTGTAGAAGGCTCGTCGCCGCTCCGAGCGCGCCTATCCAGGCAGGCGCCGTCGTCCATCGCCAGCGGGGCCGAGAAGAGGCCGGCCGAGGCGCCGGCCTCGAGTGCGGGTAAGAGGGCGGCCGCGGCCTCCGCTCTTCGGCGGCCGGCGGCCGCTTCGAGTGCCAGGGAAGCCGCGGAGGCGGCTGTGACAGCGGGCGAGGAGGAAGCTCGAGGGCCGCTGGAAGGTTTGCCGGAAGCTGGCGCTGCTGGGCGCGCCGAAGACGACGCCTCGGCAGACCCCGTGCGTCGCGAGGGCGCCGCTGGCGGCGGCGACCGAGAGGGTCGGGCAGTGAGCGAGGAGCGCGGCAAGGCGTCGTCGGAAGTAGAGGCCGACGCGGCGGCCGCGGACGCGGAGGCGGAGGCTGACGACCTGCGCCAGCTTGCCGAGGAGAGCGGCGGCGACGGCGGCGAGCTCGGAGAGGAGGAGCAGCCGCGCGAGGAAGACCCCGAGGTCATCGGAGATGACTGGTTGCCAGCTTGGCCAGCCCCGAAGGCGATCGATGCAGCCGCGGTTGCTAGTGGACATGCGCTGCGATTCTTCGGGGAGTGGGTGGACGCCTATATGCCCCCCGTCCTCAAAGAGCACGCCGCGTACGTCACGGAATCGATGCCCCAGGCGCTCTCGGTGGCGGCGTTTGGCGACGGAATGCTCGTCGCGGCGCCCGTGCTCACGGAATTGCAGAGGGTGTTCCAGAAGCACGGTCTCTTGTCGGAGGGTTTTCGCATCGCTGCCCACTGCCGCACGGACGCGGCTAAGAGCACCATGGCGAATCAGCGCGCTGAAGTGTTCGCGAGGTGGTGCGCGCCGTTAGGCGGATCTGGGCGGAGCGTGGACGACGGAATCCGGGGCATCGGCGGCCTCCCCAGAGGTGCTGCTGCGCGCGCCAGGGGGGGCCCAGCCTTGCTCTTGGGGAGCTGTTCGTTCAGGCGCCCGGGGGCCAGCGGCGCCAGCGCGGCCAGCATTCTCCTGCAGTATGCGGCGCAGAACAGCGAGCTCGTTCTCGTGGAGAGCACGGACGGGCCGGGGGAGAGCATCCCGCACGACGAATTGCAGGAAACCGACGAGTGGCAGTGTCTGACCTTCGTCGTGGACTCGGCGGACTACGGCGCGCCTTTCAGCAAGTGCAGCAGGTGGCTGTTGGCGGCGCGCGGGGGCGCCCTGTTGAACATGGAGTCGGGGACTGAGTTCTTCCGCGTGTTCGCAGAGAGCGTCGAGGCACGGCAGATCCGCGGCCCTCCCTTCGAGGCTTTTGCGGAGGCTTCGGCGACGGTGTGGTCGGACTACATCGACGATGCCATTCTGCAGCGGGAGGCGGTTCAAACGCGCGCCCTGCCAGTGGGCTGGCAGAAGGGCATTCTCGAGTATTGCTTGCGGAACCAGGTGAAGATGCCGACCGTGGCCGCGGCCGACGCTCTTTTCGGCGAGAGCCGATGGTTCCGCGTCCTGGACGACAAGAAGAAAATCTTGCTCGCTCTTGCGTCGGCGGAGTGCAGGGGCCACGGGTTCGTCGTGGACCTGTCCGCGGGCCTGGGCGCCAGGCAGCCGCTGCCGCCAGGGGCGCTGCTGGCGGGCCCATTGCGGGGCAATTCGGAATTCTGGTTCTCTGGTTCAGGCCGCCAGGGCAAACCGAACCTTCACGGCATTCTCTATCCTGGGCTTTCTCTCTCTCTCTCTCTCTCTCTCTCTCTCTCTCTCTCTCTCTTTCTCTTTCCCTCGCTTTCTCTCTCTCTCTTTCTCTCTTTCTCTCCTTTTTCCCCCCCCTCTCTCTCTATATATTTCTCTCTCTCTCTCTCTCTCTCTCTCTCTCTCTCTCTCTCTCCTCTCTCTCTCTCTCTCTCTCTCTCTCTCTCTCTCTTTCTCTCTCTCTCTTTCTTCTTTTCTTTCTTCTCTCTCTCTCTCTCTCTCTCTCTCTCTCTCTCTTTCTCTTCTTTCTCTCTTTCTTTCTTTCTCTCTCTCTCTCTCTCTCTCTCTCTCTCTCTCTCTCTCTCTCTCTCTCTCTCCTCTCTCTCTCTCTCTCTCTCTCTCTCTCTCTCTCCTCTCTCTCTCTCTCTCTCTCTCTCGGTTTTTTTTTTGGTTCTCTCTCTCTCTCTCTCTCTCTCTCTCTCTCTCTCTCTCTCTCTCTCTCTCTCTCTCCCTGTTCCCCTGTGCGCCCGTGCTCCTGTGCCCCTGTTGTTTGCCTTGACCTCTTCCAGGCGGCCGAGCGGGCCGCGTGCTGATCGGCCGCGAACTGGCTGCCGCCACCGGGATTCCCGCAGACGGGGAAGGCAGCGTCGAGGTGTGGCCCTCGTTGGCAGGGTGCTGCACATGCGCGCCGATGCTGCTGGTTCTCTTGCAGACGCTGCTCCTTGCGGCGCCCTGGAGGGGAAACCTTGATCTAGGGCTGGACTTGGCCGCTTCGGCTTGGGCTTCTTGACGCACTGCAGAGGCTCCGAGGAAAAGCGCCATCGCCCTTCTCACCGTGCCCAGAGCGGCCCAAGAGAGACTCGCGACGGCCTCGCACGGCACTCCGATGAGTTGGCCCCGTGCGCCCCAAGAAATCTTTACGGCGGCCCGACGGGGCCCCCAGACTGCCCCCGAAACGCCTTGAAAGACTTCCCAAAACAGCACGGAAGGGCCAAGACTTCCAGAGAGCTCCAGAACGGCCCGGCGGCCCACGAGGCACTCAGAACGGTTCGAAGCCAGCGCCGAGAGCTCCCGAAGGGGGGCCCGCTCGCAACCTTGGATTAGCGTGGCGACTGTCAGAGAACAAATTGTTGACGTTTCGCGCATCGGCGCCAGCCCATCCAGAAACGACGCCCAGGCGAGTTGAGGTGTCTAGGGAAGTGCGGGAATAAAGAGGGCGACAGCTGAACCGAGCCAAGGAAGTACGATGAGGAGGAGGAGGAGGCTGGATTGATGGATGCGTGAGGGGGCGGGGAGAATGATGATGAGTAGGAGAAGGAGTAGGAGTAGGAGTAGGAGTAGGAGCAGGAGGAGGAGGAGGAGGAGGAGGAGGAGGAGGAGGAGGAGGGGGGGGAGAGGGAAAAAGGGAGAGCACGGAGGAGGAGGAGGAGGAGGAGGAGGAAAAGGAGGAGGAGGAGGAGGAATCGGAGGAAGAAGAGAAAGCAGGAGGAGGAGGAGCACGAGGAGAAGGAGGAGGACACGAAGGAGGAGGACGAGGAGCAGGAACAGGGCGAGCAGAATAGCCAGAGGCATCTTCAATGCCTATCGTGGTATCCTCGGATGGCTCTT